TGAGCGGCACCGCCTCCCGCCGTCCCGGAAGGAGCGCCGCGGCCCCGAGCCTTCCCCAGCTCCCTCCCCTTTCCCCATCGCGGCGCGGACACAGCCGAAGCCAGGGCGGAAACTGCCGAGATAGCCTCGACAATGGGGTGAGGGCGGGGAGGCTCCGCCCGGCCCGGTGCGGGCCGCGACCCCACCGCCAGTGCCCTGGCACCTGCCCCGGGCAGCGCTGGCGCGGGAGCGGACACGGACCTCGGCGCTCCCGAGCAGCGGCGGCGAGGGCTGGAGAGGGCGAGGGACGCCGCGGCAGCAGCGGAGTGGGGATGAGCGGGCCGGGACGCTGCTGGCCCCGGCCGCGCTCCGCTTTCCCGGCGGCTTTAACGAACGGCGGGCGGGGGCTGTCGGAGCCCCGCCAGGAGGGGCCGGAGAAGGCGGTCTGGTGTCACTCCCCTCCGCGGGGGCTTCGCCAAACCCGCCCGCACCTGCCGCAAAGCCTCGGCTGAAGGGCCCCGACGTGCGGCCGCTTCCCGCGGGGCAGGTGCCGGGCGCGGCCCCGGGGCGGAGCGGCGCTGCCCCCGGCGCTGTCCCCGGGACGAGACGAGCCGAGCCGAGCAGCCCGTGCGGAGCCCGGCGCTGGCAGCCCGCCGCTCCGCTGTCAGCAGGGACGGCAGAGCCGGCTCGGGCTCGAAGCGTGGTGCCGCCGCTGCGCTGTGCAGCGGGGTCGGGGCACGGAGGGAAAGAGCCCGAGGTCAGTGACTCCCGCAGCAGAATGACTTCCTCTGGGCCGCGCCGGTGCTGGGCAGGCTGCTGCTAGCCTGGTGGAAGTCACTCCCGCGGGCGGAAGGTTGGGAAAGATCCTGTGTTTGCGTGACGAAGCCAGGATTCAAGGGGTTTCCGCCAGTCACGCTGCAAAGACTTGACAGATGTCTCGTTTATAAATAAGAACGGCCGTCGGTGGGGAAACCTGACTGGGTTAAATGTTAGGAAAAACGAAAATGCAAGGACCGTGGTGGGGAGCACGTGCTATCTGTTGAACAGTTTGTGTAGGTGATAAGATGGGTAAATCTGCACGCAAAACTGAAGCTTCTTTTGATTTGCCTGAATTCACTGTGGCTTAGTAGCGCCCTGAAAACTGATCGTGGTACTTTTGAAAATCACGGCTTTCAACAGATTTGTGGTTTGCTTAATCCTGCTATGTAAGTGGTATGCTGGGGAAAGGAGTGCGTCGGTGCCACCCTTCCGCCTGGCTCAGGACAAGATACAGGCTTATATCGGTCAGAGGAAATCCATATAGCCTGGCTTAACTAACTGAGAGCACATTATCACCTTTCCATCACCTCCCTTTTTCAGACTCTTTTCAGTCCTAAATTTGTCCACCTAGTTAATAAAATTCAGTAGTGCTTCAGAATATAAACTTTGCAAGGGTTTTTAGTTTCTTTTTACAGAAAAAAAAAAAACCAAAAAACAAAAAAGGTGATAGGGATAAAAAATATCTAGCAAAATGGAGCTCCAAATATCTGCTGCTAGGCTCTGTGCACAATGTAAATAACAGGATTAGTCCATGTAGCCACTTGTGCCTTAAGTAAGTCTCACTCCGTTCTCTTTCACAGCAGTGGACACAATCTCACCCTGCCAACCTTCTCTGCCCTTCTGGTGATCATTCATTTACTTGGACTTTTCGCTGAACTCATATCTGATTTCTGCTCTGGTTTGGATTTAGGGGTGTTTTTGGTGTGGCGGTTGGTATTGATTCGTATATGTGGAATTTAAGGTGCCGTTTCATCACTGCAGACAAAAACTCTTGTCTTTCAGGCCAAGGGAAAATCCCCAAACAAAACCAGCTAGTTCAGTGTTGGTTTGGAAAGCTGTAAATAGGCAGAAAAATAGATGGTAAAAACATAGGTCTGCACTAACGCTACTCTTTACTACTCAGCAGTACAACATTAGTAAAGCTGGTCCTAACAAAAGTTTTGAGTAAGCACTCTCCTGAAGAAAAAAGTCTTACCTGCACTCTTATCTGTAGAGCTTTTAAATTAGACAAGTACTCAATTGCATTTCTAGAAAATATAATCTAGAAAAAGGATTTCTCATATGAGTTATTGTCTTTCCTGTCAGGAAAAATTTTTCCATTTATATAATGAAGAGCTTTTCTTGAGAGAATCATGTAACTGTGACAATAACAGTGTTTCACCCTCATAATTACACACCTTGAGCAGCACACCTGGCCAAATATTAGCAAAAAAGTCATATTAGAAAGTTGTTACTTACAGCATGTTGTGTACCTTGAGAAATGTAACAATGTGTTTTAGTTCTTAGGACACCCTTGGTTCTCTGTTACCCCAGGTCATGCCAGCTGTCCCCTGAGCCCTCTCTCTGTGGCAATCTGTGGAAGCTAGCAAGGATTAGATGTTCCTGCACTGCTTCACGTCCCTTGTGCCCACTTTTCTTATGTGTAGGAGCCGACATGTCCAGGCTTTAGCTGCATCTACCACTACTGTTGGATTTTTATCTCTTTACTATAAAAACCATTGTGAGCTTATTTTTGGGTTTTTTTGGTTTTGTTTTTTGTTGTTGTTGTTGTTGTTTGTTTTGGTTTTGGTTGTTTTGGGTTTTTTGTGCCAAAAAGGTTTGTTTGCCTTATAGTCTGTTATAAATTAACAGAAGTTATGTTGTGGTGAGTGAGGTTGGGCTTAAGTGCCCAATACAAAAATGCTGACTGTCAGATGTTTGCATCTCAATAAGGTTGTCTGTGCTGGAGAGCTTTCAGGGATAAAGTCCCAAATAGTTTAAGTATCAGACTGCATGTTTTCCTCTGCCACAAGGGAGAGCAGCTAAATAGCTTGCAAACATTTTTAGAGCAACACTTTTCTCTTTTCTTACAAAAAAAAGAAATCTTCAGGATATTTTTAAGTCCTAGAAATACAATTCATTTTATTAGCTACATTTTAAACTGGCATAATGATAAGGGTCCTTGAGCCTTAAGATACTGGTTTTTATATATCCTGGAATGAGATTCTTCCCTAGAGGTAAAATTACCACCAGGATTGGGTAGGATGATCTTGATCTCCTTTGCCATGGAAGAAATACTTCATTTTTCAATTTAGAGTAAAACCCATAATTCATTCTTAAATTCTGAAGGAAATTAAGTGCCTTTTGGGGTTGGGCACTTCAAAGCTGTCTCCTTTTTAAAGGGTTGCAAGCTGCTTGAGAGCTTTATAATTTCTTCTAGAGATTCAACCAAATTTTCCAGAGTTATTAAGGTTCTGAATTCAGGTTTATCTGAGCCATGATCTTTTCTGAAGTGGCAATTTTCAAGGGCTGGAAAATAAAATAGAGAACATAATAATGTATTAATGGCTGAGGAAATTAAGGACAACATCCAAATTCTTGCCCAATGCCCATTTACTTGTTACCATCATGCTCTGAGCTTAACAAACATTTGTTATATACACTCATGCCTGTATGTTCTTCACTGAAACACTCCCTCCATCTCACCCTCTTCAGTATCTCTCCCCAAAGTCTCTGTTTGCTTTACTGTGTTCACCTGTCCGATTCTCAAACACACATGCTCTTCCTTCTGCTCCAGACTTTACTTTGCGTCTGCCTATTACCTGCATTTCCATGGAACTCTTCCACTTATTGCACCTGTCTACTGCTTCCCATATGGATCCCCTTTGAAGTTCATTCACTCAGCATTCTTCATCTTTCTTCACCCAATCCAAACTTTTTCAGTCACATACTTGTTCCACCTGCTTTATCACTCAAGCTTTATTAAATGAATTCTGTTTCTGTGCAGATGACTTCAAAAGTGTGATGAGAGTGTTTCCTGCCACAGTTCCCAGTCTGACTCTGTCAGAGGGTCTGTTGCTGCTGCTCATGTTCTGCTCCATGGGGGTATGGAGCAATGACTTGGCTTGTCTTACCTCCTTGCTATTTATGGTGAGGTTCAGCCAGGGTAGTTTTGACAGAGTTTATTGAGTAACTGTGGTACCTCTTTTTTTCATCCAAACAGGTACTCTGGAGGGCCAGATTTGAACAGTGAACCAGGTGAGTATGCCCTAGAGCATTGTTGAGGAGTAGGTAAAAACAGACACAGAGTTAAAAATGTTAATCAGCGAGGTATAAGGAGGTAGAGGAAAAGCTGATGCTGATGAGCCTCACAGCGCTTGGGAAAGAAGGGAGGAAAAGGTGGATGCTGTAAGGCAGGCTGTAAGTATGCTTGGGGACCCATTTGCAAATGGCATAGAAGCAATTCCCCTGAAGGGAGATCAGTAGGGCCAGGATATGATCACAATACAAAAGGAGAACTTTTAAAAAGCATTTTTCCCTATTATGAAGCAGCCTAGGGAGCATCTTGCAGCAGAGCTCTTCACTATGACGGATCCATCAAAATTAAAGAATTGTAAAGAAACACAACAAATCAAGA